ACTTTCCCCTGTTCGGGTAAAAATTTTGTAAATTGTTTTCAAAAAAAATATCAAGACCATTTTCTACATTATTACGAGAAAACTATTTATATTTTCAAAATTCTGTTCATGACAATATTTTAGATATAATTGCAGTTGTGGTGTTGCTTTTGAGAGAATGACCCTTTAAAACCTGTTCTGCTTTTGCACGGATTTATTTATCTCCAATATGTAACTTAGTATGTTTGAAATTTTAATTTACAGATAGTCGGCGAAAACGGAGATGAGTTGAAAGTGGAAATCCATAATAAAGTATATCAGATAACGTTAGAAGGCTGTTAATTCATTAACTTGCTACTATTTCTGCCACAATTCGAACTATCTGCAGATGCTACATGTAGCTCAAATTGCTCCTTGTAACGAACACGTAAAAACTGTGACTCGATTATGCTCACCTGTCAGAAATGATATATTTCTTAAAATTCTATGGCGTTGTTTCGTAAAGTTTCATCTTAACCAACGTAAACAAAAATATTTTATTTACTCATTAAAATGAATCTCCAAGGGCACTATCAAAGCCTTAAAAACTAATCTTTTTGGCACATGAATAAAATTTAACTTTCTTATCCCATAAATTACAATTACACAGCCGTGGTATGTGCTACAAGAAATCCGGTGCTACATTTAGGTGTTCCTGTGACCTATTTTTTCCTCCCCGAGACCCAATTACGTACCTACCTCCGAAGTCTAGCTTCGCTCCAAAAAGCAGGGCGCAGGTAATTGATATTTCTTGCGAGCAGACAACCCAAAAAAAGAAATAAAACAGGCAAAAAGCAACCACTTGCCAGCAATGGGCGGTGGCGGGAACAGAACTGCGACGACGCGGCCTGGTTGCAACGAAAGCTCTCTTGTCTCATCAGGCATGCAAGAAGCGAGCCGCCCAGACGGCGCACACCACCGCTGGCGGAGCCAAACAGAAACAAGCCAGCAAGCCGACAGAGGGCGTGCTCGCTGTTGCGAACGCGTTATAGAGGTTATCAGGCACCGCGAGGTTATCAGGTTAAACAATGCGTCTTATTTACTTTCTCGCTACCGCTTTGGAGAGAGAGAGGAAGAGAGAGAGAGAGAGACAGAGACAGACAGAAAGAGAGAGGGAGAGAGAATAAGAGAGAAAGAGAGAGAGAAATAGACAGAGACAGAAAGAGTGAGAAAGAGAGAGATAAAGAGAGAGAGGGAGAGAGAATAAGAGAGAAAGAGACAGAGACAGAAAGAGAGAGAAAGAGATAGATAGAGAGAGAGGGGGGGAGGTATGTAATGCTGCCACAAGAAACGCCGAATTTTCGGTAGGAAAACTGTTATTACAGAGTCATGAACACGAAAAAGTGGATAAATCCCGTTAATAAAGTTAGAAAAGTACTTCTCTAACAAGTGGTGTAGTCAGCATCCATGTTTTGTGGGTCCATCGTTCCGAAAAATCAAAAGAAGCAAAACGATTGTCTGTCTGTCCGTCAGTGAACGACGCTAGCGGGCTCAGTCGATTTCTTCAAAATTGGTATTACCCGAATCGATCTGACTGATGTCGCGGCACTGGGAAGTTGAAATCAAATTTTGTTTTGGGGATACTTTATATGAAATCCCTGAGACATTTTCAAATATTTTTAAAAATTGCTCCATCGTTTTTAATTACATATAGTTCTGGCATAGTGTACATGAAGTTTAAAAGAATGGTGCAGGTTTCATTTTCGTAAAACAACCTAATTTTCAAAAAAATGCAAAAATTAAAAAAAAGCGTATTACTATCACCACAATTATGAAAATATATATTTTTTTCCCTTATGGAAATTTGTTTCTTAATGGTAGATTTTGAAATAAGGCATTTAAAATTTTTCGAAAATTTGAGCATTTTTCGCCCAATTTTGCGTGAAAATACTGACGAGTAGGTACGTGCTGTTTTAGCAGCATTAGTTATTTTGTAAAATAGTAATAAAACTAGCACTTTGTAGCAATTAACCTTGTTTCATGATATACATAAGTGTATAATATTTTAAGTACATTTTAGGCAACTTGCATGCAACTTTGCCGACTTCCTCAACAATTCCGCGATATTCACAAAAACGTAGTATGAGCACATAACTACTGCTTCAAGGAGGAAAAGCGGGCAAGGGGTATGTTTTTCGAAGTCCTACGTAGGCTTGAGCTCCCGCATGTTTTAAAGTTACAGCGATGAAAATTTAATTGCAAAGAGAAAGAACAGTATATTTGTAAAACAAAATATTTTCTTATTTATATAATAAACTTTTACTCCTTCCTTACATTTCTGAAAGATATTTCCGAAGAATCGAATTTTACTCGTTTCTCTTATCTTCCTATATCATCGCCGGGAACACGTTATCGAGGTTTTCAGGATTCGCAAAAATTGTATGTTAAACAATTCTTTTTATTTTGTAAAATATTAATTAGAAACTAAATTAACTCTTGTAAATATATTGCGCTAACGGAAAAAGTTCAGAAACGTTATCAGAGAAAAAAAACTTCACAAAACTGAAAATAGAAAACCTAAAAAAATTCATATTGCTGTTTACATTTTCCCGAAAACCATTGAAATGAGGGAGTTTAATAATTTTTCAAAGAATAAAATCACTATTCACTGTGCACACAGTGTTAAAGTGTTTCTAATATTATTGATTGTTTTATATTGTATTTATCACAATGTGGTCATATTTGTCGGAGTGATTTGTATTAGGAAATGCAACATAAATAATTATAACCTCTGATTTTTTTGTGAAGAAATGCATCTGTGAAGTGATTGCTAAATATTACGGTAATATAAACTCACTAAACTTTGCATTTATAACACGCAAAACTTTAATCTATGAAAAATTTGCTGTTGTTGCTTTACTTATGAAGATCCTAGTTCCCACATTTGCTCACGCACTTGCTCGCCTTCGACGGCGAAACATCAACTCCTGTCTGGAAAATCGTTTACAACGCGCATAACAAAATGTCGTTACAAGCAACAGCCGGCATTCTATACATTTTTTGATATTACTAAATTTTAAATTGGTAAAATAAAACCGGCTATAACACATCTACTTCTCATAATTTTACATTTAATAGAAAGATCTCGATATTCGATACAGCAGAATGCTCAAATTTCTTTCTAAACGAAAATACTTAGTGTTATAATAGTTATTTACAAAATAAGTATTGTAAGATATATTATTATTAAACAATGTAGCAGAATTACCAAAATTGGCCGTCAGCCCGAGCTTGATAACATATCGAGTATTGCAATAGGTCGATTTTCGTTAAACGTTGTATTAACTTTATTGAATTTCCAATATACTATAACCTACCGCCAGGAGCGTAGCACATTTGAGTGCTACGAGATTAATATTGTTATTTCATTAAGTCAGGGGTTCTCAACGAGAGCCCTGTGACTCGGAACTGGGCAGTGACTTAGATATTAATGAACCGCAGACCGTAAGTCAACAATCGAAGACAGGTGACTACACACAAAGAGAGTGAAAGAACCATCAAAGGAACCTTTGTTAAAATTGTACTATCAAACGACGAGAATCAAAAATCTTCTTTAAAAATTAATTGGTTACTATTTGAATATATATACGGCAATTGCAAAACTTGCACTGAGACATTTGATGGGGTTCTCGATCACTCATCAGGGCATTTAATAGTAGTCAGTGTTAGATATACTATACAAATGTTTACTACTCTTGTATTCGTAATTTTAATAATGATCGAGGCATTTTTATAGTAAACGTTTTGCTAATTACTTTTCACTTTTTGACGAAAACAGAAACTACACGATTAACATAAATCTGGAGCTTTACATACACAACTGCATGAGGAACATATTTTATTTACTCGTCTCTCGAATCTTTGTCAAATTTCGGAGGTAACAAATTCAATATATTATATCTGTAATAAATATAACTCCAAATACTCAGCAACATAAATTTTATTTTTGCGACAGTATTATCACAATTATAGGTAACAACATAACATTTTTTTCAAGATGTATCTTCATTCTGAAATTAAACAATATTTAATATTATGATTGATGAAAACGAAAACAGAAATATGAGACATTTGGTCACATGTTAAATTCTCCTAAGACCCGTCATAATTATTAACCATGTAACAAAAATTAAAATTAACCAATTCTTTGGTTCATACATTTAAATATTTAGAGAGAAACATGAAATTGTCGCACTTCAACATACCAAAATAAAGAAGTTTAAACAATATGTGAAACTGTTTTATTGCAACAATTGGAATGAGTGCGAAAAAGGAAACAAAACATCATTTATTACGAGAAACAATCTATGGAATGCAAGCAGAAAACTATATCTGCTAGTAAAATAACGATAATACAATTATTTTATTGTTGTTCTATTAAACTAAAATTGTATGTACACCTCGGCAAAACATTTTCCCCGACATAAATCTTCAAACTAAGATCCAATCGATCTGCATTTTTGATTTAAACGAAAACAGAAAATCATTTAGTAAGCATTACTGTATGTTGTGGTTAGTTTTTGAGACACCTGAAATACATTGATTATTTATAAATTACATGTAATATAATATTAGTTTATTGACTTTTGAGAACCTTTTATTATTTTCATAATCTTCTTTAACATTACTACACTCAATAATTATTAAAGAAAATTAATAATAAAATAACATGATCAAATCTTAAAAAACAATTACAACAATGACTAACAATTAAATAAACAAAATTTACGAGTCACTGTATTGAACTCAGACTGCAATATGTCTGGAAGCACAGAAACATCAATATTATTTCGATATATTGCCTCGAAACACAACGTACGCAAGGAAGGGCAGAGATCCAGAACATTTACATCCATACAACACTCTATATTATTGGTGTAAATAATTGCTTGCGTGTCTTTAACTGAAAATTTGTTATATCTTGTCACCCCACCAAATACGAATACTCTTGCACCTACTCGAACACAAGAATGTCTGTACCTTGGAACAGGAGCAAGGCCCAGTGGCTTCACGGCTTTCCACTCATTAGTTTCTGGAGTATACCTCTGAATATCATTATAATCCAGATAATAGATTTCATCACGCCCTCCGAAAAGGTAGATGTGCCTTCCAAAAACAAAGGTCTGTGCCCATCTTCTAAGGGAAAGCACTTGACCTGTGGCAAAAGTAGTACTCCACTTACAAGTGACTGTGTCTAAGTAAGTTATTTCATTCCAATGAAGTTTTCCAGTAAAGAAATATATACGATTACCCATAACAGCAAAGCAACACTTCATGTTTAGTTTAGGAAATTTTTCTCTAGTTTTAACGATATCCCATGTCATCGATTCCAAATCCAAAGCGTAAATTTCTTTGCAAATATTTGGTCTGAACTGCTCAAATCCTCCTATGATATACATTAAATTTCCTACAAGGCAAGCAAAATGGTTTACCCTACCGCGAGGTATAGATCCAGAAACCTCTGGGAAACTCCAAGTATTGGTGGTTGTGTCAAAACAGCACAATTTTCTAAAGAAATAATTTTCATCTTGAGTTGATCCACCCCAAACGTAAACCTTAGACATATATGCTACTGCTGTATGACCGTATCTCTCATCCGGAATTCTCTCGCCTTCTTCTGCTCTAGTTTCCATGAAAGACCAACGATAGTTGGTCGTATTAAACATTCTGACCACCAGATTCTGAGATGATCGATCACAACAAGCCTGACCAAATGAAAAGATGCTGTTGCCCACGGCCACAGCTGGAGTATTCAAGGTGCATGGACTACCTTCCATATGTATGGTCCAGAACATCGTGATAGTAAAACCTACAAAAAACGTACAACATCGCTGTATAAATTTATTAAAATAAAAATAAATTGATAACAAAATGGTAAACACTTACGCGAAATGATCTACAAAAATATACTAAAATTAAAGAAAGCTCGGAACACAATGATTCTTAACTATCTGGAAATTGTATTTATAAGTTAAAACGTTTCGTCTGTTTCAAAACAAATTCTGAAAAAAACATGTTCTTTGTCTTTTGCTAATAATGCATTGTTGAACATATAAAGCTGTCAAATTTTGACCCTGCATCTAAGAATAAAGATAAAAAATGAATGTTACATTGCAAAGTAAATTCCGCGTGTACAATGTTCAAGTCTACTCTAAATGCGCACATAAATTACAAAGCAATTAAAATAGTTTTATATCTCATTCATTTCAAGTCTGAAGTTGGTATCGTTTACTCGCATTCAATAAATCGCTTTTATTACTAAATCACCAACAAAAAAAAGCTTTATTTTCCTGAATGTTTACTTACTGAAGCAGTGAAAAGTCGGATATTTACTTACGAATTATACAGAGTTTCAAAAAAAAACCCATTGTTATTAAGAAACATAATGGTATTGAGAAATTGTTTGATTTTCATGCCACAATATGTATTTTCAAAAAAACGAGAACCATGCGCACAAGAAAACGCATGATTATTTCTAAACAACGAAGAGACAATTTCAGTGCTATTAAAAAGAAACAGCCCCAGTAATTTTAATTCAAGGCAAAAAATAATGAATTGGCAAATTTTGCCATAATTTTACAGTAATAATTGAAAATTAGACCTACTACATATAACTTTCTCTTCCAAAGGTATAATAATAACAATAATAATAATAATAAAGAAAAAATATAATACTTCATACGCATTATATAATCACATATCAAATTTCACATGTAATTTATTATTACTTATTTTTAACTTATTACTACTTATAGATTTCCTTAATATAGTTCTTCGAGATAATTTCAATTAAATTGTAGATAACGTATAGATATATTAAAAACGTGTAATAAAAAAAGTATAGGTTTATATTTATTTATATATTACGTGTTTTAAGATACGGTATTCTGCAATGTTAACAAACTAATTTAAACTAAAACTATTTTTATTAGGGTATTTTACTCTATAGGAAAGAAAACTATATTTTTAAAGGTGAAACAATTTTTGATAAACTTTGAAAATCCTGTTGAGGCTTCATGAAAAGTACTCTCAAAATATTCATTTCAAATTAAAAGAGTCACGATATCAGACCAATAGGAACCATTCAGTTTTGGTGAAAATTCTATCTACGGTTTAGTCCCTAGCGTTCATAGATAAACCAAGAAAAGATTTGTTATAAATACACGTTTCGATATCAAGAGGACACAAAATCTGGATTCCAAGTACACTGTGTGTTAGAGGAAATAATTTACGACTTACAGAAAGAAGAATTTTCCACTTACCCGGTGGCATAGAGTCGGTATTCGAGTTTTTTGGTCTATAAATCGCCATTTTGGGCTACAGCATTACTTAACTTTGTTTCGCACTGTAGGCTTTTGTTACATTATTTGAACTTAAGTATATTAGAAACGTTGAACGATGTTTCGGTTTAATCCTACAACTACAATAATTGAACATGGATACTTTTCTCCTAAATGAAACCAGTTTTCCAAAATTGAAATGTGTTTATGGTCATTAACAATATTTTTCTAAATATGAATTGTTTCTTGTAGTTTTCAGTAAAATAAAGTCGCTTTTAAAATCAATTTTTTCCTCAAAAACTAGCTCCGAATATTTTCCTTTATTATATTATGAAGTACATTCATAAATTCTACGCAAGTCTGATTCGCAATCAACTCTTTGAATTTTCTATTGATTGTTTATGTTTTCGGGCACGTCAAGTGCTTAGTGCACGTCAAGTGGCGGCGATTGGTTTCGTCAGTGTAGGGAATGTTTTATCGCGGAAGGTGGTGATGTTGCTACTTTGCACGATAGTGACATTCGGCGCCGACCAACAGGTTGGCTTGTGGGCATTCCCACCTCCGGGCATTGTTGCCAGACGTACCAGGATCCAGGTACTTTTACCAAAATTCTAATGAAGACACCATGTACCAGGATGAAGATATTCTGGTATGCTTAAATATCATGATTTTTAGTATACGGCAATTGATGTACAATTTATGATTTGTTTCATAAATTATTTGTTCAATAATATGTATCTAACACCAATAATAGAAGTATTTATTGATATTGATTAAATCACTGCCTTAAAAACATTCAGGTGCCGTAAGATGCTTTGTTCTAGCCTATGCTATAGTAGGAAAGGATAAAACGTCTTAGTCTTCCATTTAGTTTATAGACATAAAACGAATTAATATCGAGTTAAGTTTAACGAATTTCCAATGCGATTTAAAAACATAAAAGATATAATATAAACAAAGGAAAAATTTAAATCAATTGTCATTCGTACCAGGAATGTTAGTGAACATTTCATAAGGTTGGTGCTGAAGGTTATTTCTGAAGGGATATAGATGAAAGTATCCGGGAACGCTGCCTCCGATTACGGCCCTTGATGGGGTACCGCCCCAGCCCGGACAATCTGTAAGATCACAACATGTGTGGTATTCTTATGCATGTAAGTGTGTGGGTAAGTAAGGGGTGAGGATAGGACAAGTAAGGGGAAGGAAGTATATCGAGCGACCCGGGGCCGCTTTAGGATATTGCTCCGGCCTTCGTGTGGTGTTGATCGGAGAAAACAGGAAAACTACCGATCAGAGCAGCCGATTCTCCCTAGATAGCGACTGAATTCGAAATAGTTATATATCTAGCGTGCAAAACTAGATCTAGCGTTCGTCTATTTCGTCGATATTCGAAGCTTAGGATCTTCTGGTCAGTCTCTGCTGAGTCCTCGACAAAATTGGCTCTGAGACAAACCCAACCGGTGTCTTAAATCGCTAAAGTTATTATGCGGATAAGCTATTGCAGTGCCAGTAATTTGTCTTTGTTTTTATTTTCGTTTAGTGTTGGCAAAGGAGCATATAATAAAGTGATTTCGTTTTAGTTATAAGATTAAAGTTATTATGTTCCTCTACGTAAAATTCATTTAGCGTAATTTTGGTGGTCATAACAATTGTGGTGAAATATTCAAAATGTATGACTTCAGTATCGCCATAAAAATAACACGTTTCTTGTTGCAATTACAAGGATGAGGGCGTGGGCAAGAAGGAGGGCGAAGGTAAACGCGAGGGCAAGGGCGAGGACGAGGGCGACGGAAGGGGAGGGTAAGGAAGAGGACAAGGAAGAGAGCGACGGCAAAGGCAAGAGCGAGAACTTGGGCTAGGACGACGGCGGGGGTAATGGCAAGAACGAGGGCGAGTGCGAAGGCTAGGGCGAGGGAGAGTGAGAGGGCGTGACCAGAGCTATGGCAAGGGCGAGTGCGGGGCGGGGGCGGGAAATGCGGCAGCAGTGGCGGCAGCAGGTTCGCGTCGGTGGGTTGAGCTATGGCGGGGGCGGCCAGCGGTTCAATCAGCGCGGTGCAGAGCGAGGGAAGGCGCAAACACCTGTGTCCTCGTCCTCGGCTGAGGGGGAGGGGGAGGACGCGTAGTGGGGCTGGCCCCTACGCGGATAGACAGGCTCATACCGTTTGGGGGCGAGTGTATGTGTTTCAACAACGGTCCCCATATCATTGTTCCTATTTCTATCCTTAGATAAGGAGTTACTGCTTCATCATAGGGCTTTCATTATTAGAACGCGTGTACTGACTCAGCGCTTCGGTAGAAGGGTCGTGGATTCGAGTCCTGCCTTGGCACGGTTGTTTATTCCTTGTATCTCATGTGAGTGTTGTCGCGGAGGGCCTCTCGTTCTGCTGACTCCAGATTAGAGAAGGTCGCAAGTGTGTTGGTGTCTACTGTTGGTTGAATATGCCATCATTTGGTACGTGAAGAGAATTGGCTGTTGGCTGGATAAAAGCCATAGGAGAAAAATATTAAAATCTTCCTTAATTTTTAGAGATTTTTCGAGATTCAGCGTTATTGAAGGTTCTGAAAACAATACTGAACAGTACGTAATAATTTTGTAGATCCTCCAATGTTTTATTTGTACCAGCCAAGGGTGCCCTACCCATGAACACGATAAAATCTTATATTAGTATCTGTCGATGTAGAGATTACTTGGTAATTAGTAGAATGAATATATTAAATGTTGAACTAGTTTAACAGAAAATGAACTTTAACCTCGGCACTATAAGATCAGAAATTCTCCAAATATTTATATGTAAAATATTGGTAAATAATATAAGAAATGTTTTCCAATTTTACTGCAATTCATTCTATGTCCCGCATTGACACAACTTATTGATGATTTCCGGGTATCGGAATAACACTGAAATCCGACTGTTATTTAACGATTTTTATAAGACTGGCCCGTTTTGACTGGCAACATGACTTAAGGTTCTGTGGTCGTTGTGTGCTTCAGCCCATCTGACTCACATTCGTTTGTTAGCAATTGGCTAACTTGTACAAGGTTCCAACGCTTCCTTTTGTGATGTCCTCATCCGACGAAAATACAGTTTGCTACGAGAAATAAATGAAGTTAGGAAGTGCAGTGCTACTGTGCTCTTTTATAAAAAATATTTTTTAACATTACACTGAATATAGGTTTTGTGTGATAAGAATTATGCTCTTTTGAAAACTGAGTCTTGAATGGCAGACACGTACTGGCGCACGAGTTTCCTACTCCTGTGCGGTAAAGTGGCGATCGGTGATCGAGAACGTTCCGTGGTTTGCCTTTTATCAACTTATTTTTGTATATAATTACACGGTTGAGAATCATGAGAAGACGTGGTCTTAACGGGCGCCGAGTCACAACATAAACACCTTATGAAGAGGTGTAGCTGAACAGCTGTATACTACGTGTATTACTCCTCATACACGTATGTGTACGAGACAGTAGAAGTAAGCGCAACCATACTGTCCATTCGCCTGAGCACCATAACTCACAAGACGTCTGTTCGGACATCACCCGCCTAGAGCGTTGCATTAGGATGGGGGGAGTGCTGCATGTGGATTATGCAGCCTGATTACCGACACGCGGTGACGCGTGAACCGCCCAGCTCATCAGGGGCGCGGAGCGGCGCGGCGCGTCGGCGCACACGCGGAGGCGTGTATTTGAACGCGAACGCAGGCCGAGCGCCCGGCAAACACAGGCGTGATTAGGCTCCGACCACGTGCGCGCGGCTGCAGTAGTGGACGTTGCGATTGCTGCAGACGGCAGTATATTTTTGTCAGGTGCTGCGTTTATTATTGACAGAAGGGGAACACTGTTGGGCCTGAGAAAGGAAAACATTTTAGCATAAATTTTAGCAGATTTAATTCTTAGTAAAAATGAATTTCTCTTTATACGGAATTCATCGCTATATCGTAATCCTCGAAATACCAAATTCCACGTGATAACGAATTTTTGATATCATATACCATTATATCATCATTCCTCGATACCTCGAATATTTAATTCCTCGATATTTTGAATCTTTAATTCCTCGATACCTCGAATCTTTAATTCGTCAATACCTTGATGGATTCAATTTGTTTTTGCGTAGTTTGTGCACGCCAGGGCGTCAGCGCTATCGACGCGCACATGCACTAAGGTTTAGCGCATGCGCAGATGCACTAAAGTGGCGCAAAACTGCGCATGCAAAGAAAAACGATAGGACTTTAAGGTTCGAGGTGGCACAAACTCCCTTTTTTTCTGCAATGCCTCGATATCTCCGGTTCAACGATATGTCCGCTTCCTCGAAGATTTCAATTTCTAGATATCGCTGATATCTCGACATCTCCAATTTCTTGGTATATCTATTTCCTCAATATGTTCAGTCTTAGAAGAATAAGTGATTTTTTAAAAGTTTATAAATGTTTACTTTCTCGCCTTCCTTCGTAAGAAGAGAAAGTATTGGAACCTTGCGCCGAAAATCGAAAAATGTTCGACATAAAATCTTTTTGTCGGGTCCTGTGAACGCAATAATAGATAAATCATGTTCTTGAATACAGTAAATATCTCGAACTCAATGTGCAGTCGGAAAACATATTTTCTGGAATCTATGTGGGTCCAGGATACCGAAATATTGTCTGACAGCAAATCATCTGTCTTTCCAGGGTCAACGCTAGTGCCTAAACCCTTCAGACGATTTTCTCCATTCCCCGGTGAATATGAACGAATTCCAGGCCTCGTAAGGTAGCTTATAGTATAGAGGAGAATAAATAGATATTAAGAGAACTATCAATAATTCTAAAGCCTGCGCCATTCTATAACATCACCAATTACTATTGCATTTCCATTCCTTGTAAAACTTGTATCGCCTTTTGCGGGAGAATAGAATACGGGACTGAATTTAGTATCTTTAGGCTTGCCTGCCTGGTCGTATAAACTTCCAGCACAGTGCAAAACTGACTTATTACATTATTTACTTATAACAGAGTCAAGTATCATAATAATCCTAAACAACCAGTGATCTGACTACTGTAGAAATCCCTAAAAACAGCACTTGAAAGAAAACATGTAACAGGACTCTATTTCTAATTTAATTCGATATATAGGTCATACTGTCCAGCTGTTCGCCATACTGCAATTTCGTCACTGAGACTCTCTAAGAGAGAAAGAGAGTTCATTCGGTTCTTTTGGTTTAAAAATTGATCATTTAATGATTGTTTATAAGTACTGAGAACTTTGTGTTCCACTTGAAATATCTTAAATAGTGATTTATTTTGCAGTAATAAAGCACCTCAGTTACCTCAACGCGTCGTTCCAGGAAACTTGAAAAGGAGAAAAAAAGAGAATTCATAATTATAGAAAATGAAATATATGCAGCGGAGGAAACCACAAAACATCTGCGTTCTAACGCAGTGTAATAAATTCCCTACTTTTACGAAAGCACCCATTTTAAACCACCAACGATTAAAATTGTAATTAAAAGTAGTGCATTCGCATTTTATGTAGTTTAATTAGATGTGAGAAATACAAAGAAAGTCCTTCATGTGCAATACGTTTGAAAACACGACAAATAAACATTCGTGCAAACAAAGAGAATTTCTAGTCCACTTTTACAATCCTCCAAACGCACTCTCATGAACGATTCACGAGCTCTTCCAGAGCTTTATGCTAAAACACACAATACAGAATTCAGTTGCTCATCTCGATTAACTTTTGGTTCTGTTCATTACCAAAGCACGCAAGGAATACGGAATGTAATGAATTGCAAGCGCGCGAATTGCAAATGCGGCGTTGCCAGATCGATACTCGCTGAGCAGCTGCGTTCCCGCATCTCCTCTGTCTGTCCCCTTGCGCTGCTGTCGCTGCTGGGCGCGTGGAAATTAGGACAGTCCGCCGCTGCTGAGACAACACTGGCCGGATACCGAGATTCTCTCTGGAGAGGGAGGGACCCTGTTGCCATATCGGACTGTTTGGCTGACTTCAAGGAACGTTTTTAGTAATGAAAACTTGAGTGGGGGAAGGTGTTAGGGTATTCTTTCATGACGAAATGTCATTTAGGAGAATGCCATTGTGGAGAATTTCATTTTGGAGAATGGAATTTCTATATATTCTAAAAAATCGATGATATACCTCTCTATATAAAACAAAGTTGTGTTAGTTACACCATTAACAACTCAAGAACAGCTAGACAAATTTTAATTATCTATGATATGTTGGATTTATATCCGGCCGGGATAGCAGGATAACTAATAAAATATCGCAAAAAGTCATGAGAAATAAGAAAAATAATTTACATATTCATGCTAAATGCAACCCGCAGCACACTGCTAGATTTTTTACTATATATCGTTAAATAACTCTTAAAGACAGGATGAGATCTTCTTGATTATTCTATAATTTATTTGTTGATCCTTTGCTTCTCGATATTAAACCGCCCACTCAATGATTTGCAGAATCTGGAACTAAATGTGTATGAGAGGGTCAGAGAGACAGAAAGAGATAGAGTGAGTGAGAGAGGGAGAGAGAAAGAGGGAGAGGCAGATATCGAAAGAGGCAGAGGGGGAGACGAAGAGAGGGAGGGACGATGAGATGAAGAGAGGGGGAGAGACAGAGGAAGGGAGAAAGAGGGCGATGAAGGGCAGAACAAAAGACTGCCGGGTTCCGCTAAGTGGAGTTAAATTAAATTTCTTGAAAAACGAACGAATGCTACATTAACTTCTTTGTACTATTCTAAAACCCTTTTCACTATAGCAAAATATTTCGTGAACTAAACCATTCATTTTCGAATTGTTCTTAATTACACAAGGTGTCGCTGAAGCAATGTTCCGGCATTCTATGACGCTGCCTACATCGTATACCTGTGTTACGACTATGATATATTTGTGAATGAATTTGTTATCCAGTTGGAGCAGCTTCAGAAGGTCGATGCTTACCGACTAAGGAGGAACCAAATATTTCGGTTTGATTCCAGAATCAAGTATTTTCTTTCTATTCCCAGGCAGTGGCATAATGGAACGATACAGGTGTGCTATTGCGCACCGTATATAACTTCATTCAATGAGCTTTAAGTATCGGTTTTAGTCACAAGACTAGTGATAATTTTAAATGCAGTCAGATACCAAAATTATTACTTTGTTACGGGTTATCAGAACACATACAATAAAGCATTTTTTAAAAAATATATTGCATTTTTTAAACTTCATCGTGTGTTTTTCGTTGTAAATTGTCACATTATATCATATTCAAAATGTTTCTCAACACTTCTTGCTCTTCATGCAACATGGCGGCCAACGTCTGGCGTGGCTTTTTCAACGAAGAGTCCGTAATTCGACTCCATTTTAAAGACTTCATAGACGGGGCAACGTAAGCTCTCCACAATTTCCATGAGTATCGGTAACTGCAACAACAAATACGGAGCCCAGCCGCTGGCCACCCGGGCTGCTGTGGTGGTGCGTATGGAAGCTAGGCCAGGTGACCACTGCTGAGGCAACAATCCAAAGGCATGGTGTTCTTCCCTAGGGAGAGCAGATAGCGTTTCCAAATGAAAACTATTTGATAACAAACAAGGAAAGCTGAAGCCAGGTTTACAGGCTTGGTAGGTAACGGCTCAGTACGGGACTTGGTAGTAAGCCTGACTTTAGTATAAACTAACAGTGGATTCTACTTATTTATAATACTTACATGCATTAGCACTTACAATCTAAACTTATTGACTAACACTGAGGTTTTCATAGTTTTCACGTCAAACGTCCACTGGTTGTTGAGAGCCACAGTTAGAGTTAAACTTTTTCCCAGCACACACACACTCAGCCGATTACTGTCCGTTAGGGGCAAAAGCGTACTGTTGGTTCATCACAGGCACTATGGATTTGGCGTGTCTGTGGTCGGCGGTGCACTCCCGACAATTTGTAGTTTCACGGCTGCGGATCTTTAGATCGGAATTAACGTTTTTGATGGATTGCTTGATTCATTGATTAATTTATTGTTTATTTGGTGTGTCCGAGCGCGACAACTAGTAGGGTCAGAAGACACTTATTGTGCATTAATGAAAGCAAAACATCCCTCTAGTTTGAGGCAGTTTAATTTATAATTTCTTTTAAATATAAAAGAAGTAGTTAACATATAATTTCACATCTTCTTGGAACGTACAACGTTTCGACGAGTTTTCTCGTCATGGACATGGTCGTTCTGGACAGTTCTTATAGAGAGTTTTCAAAATCACGTAAGTATGGTGCATGTTTTAATGCGCGGTGGTGGTGTTCTCATCAACTAGATGAAGAGATCCAGCAACGATCTTCACGCAGGCTTACGAGGGAATTCCCGCTCCAAATATCTCCCACGAGCGGATCACCGCGACAGCCTGGACAAGCTCTAAACTGTAGACTGGCCTCCCGACCTGCGTTGTAGTGTAGCGCATGTATGTGTGTGTGTCAGTAAGGGGTGAGAATAGGATAAAGAATAGGCATAGGGAATAAAGAATAGAGAAAGAACGCGCACTGCCCATGGCCCGTTTATTATAGTACTGCTCCGGCATTCGCCTGGTGATCGGTGAAACAACAAAAAACTACCGATCAGAGCAGCCGGCCGCTGGAATTCTCAACCAGACAGCGGCCAAATTCGACCTAGCTATTTAGCTAGAGTCGAAAATCCTGCCACCGTCGGAAGTAGAACACTAGAACCTACTGGCTAGACACTCATTGACATCAGCAGCTGTTCTGTGCCCCATCTCCTGGTCCTAGTTATGTAGTTAGTGTCCAAAACCCCGTCAACATCGGCTCTCGAACGGTAGGAATTCCCGATCAGAGGCGCTGCAGTGACATCAGTTACTGCCCTAAGCCACCTCCACCTGAATATTCTCCTCATGTGTATCCTATTTGTTCGCTACCGTGTCCCCCATTCCGACCCATAGCGCGGCCCGCCGTGACTCAGCGCCAGGAGACTCCGACTGATCTGCGCATATGTGGTAGTGTAGTGCTTGTAATTGCGTATGTAACGAAGTAGAAACGAGGGAATTTGATCGTAGAAATCACGGAATGCTCTCCGATTAGAGCAACCGGCTGCAATAATTCTCCTCTCGACTGCGGCTGAACACGTCCTAGCTATATAGCTAGTGTCGAAAATACGACCACTGTCGGGACTAATACTAGGACCTCCTTAACACTGCAGACTCTACATTGCCTGGCGTTGTTCTTTGACGCTGCTTCCCTGAGCCACCACAACCAAATATTCTCCTTGTGAAGTTGTAGACTTCCACGGCCAGAATCATGAGCGTGATCTTGGCTGTCCGGGTGACGCCGCGTTGAAGGCTTTGTTGCCGACGTTTCGACCATCCTGTCGTGGTCTTCCTCAGGGCTGGTATAGCCGCATACCAGCCCCGAGGAAGACCACGACAAGATAGTTGAAACATATTTTCTTGGCGGCTGCCCGGTTTTTTTCTCTCACTACGACCCCACAGAACATCCGGGCGCGACGAGGCACGATACGATCCCGATTGGTCTCGACATGAGTGGTAGTTTAGTGCTTGTGTATGTGTGTGTAACAAAGTAGAAACCACAGAATTTGATCGAAATTGATCGAATGTCGAAAATCCGGCCACTTTCGGGACTGTAATCCTAGGACCTGCTTGACACTGAAGACTTGCCTGACGTTGTTCCTTGACGCTGCTTCCCTCAGCCACCGCAGCCGAATATTCTCCTTGTGGCTGCCCGGTTTTTCCCCCTCACTACGACCCGACAGCACGGCCCGGTGCGACTCGGTGCCAGGCGATCCCTATTGGTCACGACATGAGTGGTAGTGTAGTGCTTGTGTGTGTGTGTGTGTGTGTGTGTGTGTAACAAACCATGGAATTTGATCGAATGTCGAAAATTCGGCCACTTTCGTGACTGCAATCCTAGAACCTCCTTGACACTGAAGACTTGCCTGGCGATGTTCTTTGACGCTGCTTCCCTGAGCCACCACAGCCGAATATTCTCCTCGTGGATGTGTTGTTTTTTTCGCTCTCCGCGTCCCCTGTAACGACCCACAGCGCGGCAGGGCGCGAGACGCGAAGCCCGGCCACCCGAGGGAGCGAAGGGGGAAATTGCGAGAGGCAAACAAGGGGCCCCGAGGGCGGCGTAGCGCGGCGCTGGCGACGAAAGGGGGCGACGGAGGGGAAGGAGGAGGTTAAAGGGCACAAGTGCGAAATAATTTGCATATTCGGCGTCGTTTGCGCGGGCGAAGTTATGAACCCGGCGCGGGTGCGAGAGCGGTGCAGGGCGAACTCAACGCTCGACTCGGGAGGCACGCAGCTGGTGCGAAGGGCCGACTGGCGCGGAAGCCACACGTTGGCAACACTGCGTGCGGAAGAATGTTGAAGGCGAATGGGGATGCATGCAAAAGATTTCGATGGAAGCGGTTATAAAATATGACTATGAGTTATCAGTAGCGCACCCTGGTAGGGAGGGGGATTCAGCCCCAACCCCAAGCCAACAACATATATATTTTTAAAACAATACGTTTTTTAACATTTACTTCATTCAAGCTTGAAATGCAATATATCGATTTTATCTTTATTATTTCGGGGAAAATTTTATTTATTATTTCGAGGGAAATACGTAAAGAGTTGAATGATGCTACTAGTTTTTTTTTAATGATAGGGTTATGAGAAGGAATTATTGGAGGTAAATACTAAAAGAAAAACCAACACAAGTTATTATCTAGTTAACTAGTAAATAATTAAATTCGTATTCGGAATTGGGTAAAAAATAAAATCATGATGTACCACGGGCGTTAACTCGTTTTAATGATCTCGGTCGACCAGAAGTCCTTGGGGTTTACTCGCTTATCGATCATTATAATTATTTCAACGCCCATTGTTTATAAATAAATATTATATTAGTTATCACGTTTATGATTAACACGGAAAGCTCACGTCAAGTAAAAAGCAGGTGTACTAGGTTCAGTCACTTATGTAAATATTTT